ATAAATAGCTTACTTTTAGTTTTTTTTTTTAGTTGAAGAGAGATAAAGGAAAAGTGGGTAGAAGATAGGGAAAGAAAATAAATTAAGAGAAATTAAAAGAGAGGAAAATTGAATACAAAGAAAAAAAATATGTGGCAGGATAATAAAGAGGTGCTTTGTATATAATGATAGATATTTATATATAATGATAGATAATAGATAATAGATAGATAGATATAGCACTTTAGTCTCCTCCAATGTCTCAACATATTTTGTTCTAATCAATCAATTTGTTAAACAATTTTTCTCTAATATTTTGTTTTTTAGTTTAACCTCACAATTTAGTTGAAGGCTATATAGAGATGTTTGAAAAGCCTTTATAGCATAATAAAAAGGAGAAAATAAGAACTTACCATAATAAAAGTATGTTATTCCATAGTCTAGTTGAATTATGCACACACATATCGTTAGGTTGGTGTAAAAATATTCCCCCGCCTAACCACATATATTTTTCAAAAAATATTTTCACACAAAATAAATATGCCCTAAAAGTATGTCATTCTAAGTCAAGAGTTAAAATACTAAAAAAAAATTAAAAGTTCATATGCCATGTACGCTTATAAACTTAAACTATATGTTAGTGGAATTGCTAGTTATATTATATTTTGTTTAAGTAAAAAATGTAGGTACAAAGAGTAAAAATAATGGTCAAAATCAGCAATCCTAAACATTATTTTGAGGTGCTGATCCATGCCATTGAGTCAGGTTTTAAAAGACGAGTGCAGTTGTATAGAGCCTACCTTCAAAGAGTGTCGAGAAATATGATTTCAATATTGGAAATCTTTGTAATAGCCTTAAAATATATTTTCATCACTAATTATAAAGTTTAAAGCTTCAAAAATAGCGTAGATCGATAGATCTATGAAAACTTGAAAATCTTAAAAATTGTTGGTCCAAAAATGTGCTACAAAATACACGATTTCAAAAACTTGAAATCTATTTTTTTCTCATGTCCACGCATCTTGATGTCAAGATGATCAATTTGAAGATATTTGGGCTTCAAAACAACATCTTCTAATGAAAATTTTGAGGTAGGCTCAAATTGCCTACAATTATATTATATAACAAAACAAAAATATACAAAGTATTTAACTTTGCGCTATATTACTGGACTATAACCTATTATAGGCTATATTTAACTTGTAAGCCAACAACTGATAAAAAGAGTATCTTTTTCAAGAAAGTCCAAATTAATTTCTGGCTTCTACAAAGGATGGACAAACAAGGAAGGAACTACAAAAAGAATTAACTCCAATGTTGCTGATTTTGGAATTTCTTTTATGCAAAAGCTTAGAGAGGCAGCCTATATAAAATATTTAAGAGAAGCAAAAATCTTATTTATAAGCATATCTTCTTTCCTTCTCCCTGTTTAACTTCCTAAACATTTATTTCAATAGAATTCCTAAGCATCGAAGGATAGACTTCAACACATGAATTAGAATACGAAAATGTCCATAAAAGAAAAAGAGAAACCATTAAATGGAGGAGGATGGGTTTAGACAGACAGAACCAAATTAGAAAGTCCATCATATTCTCTCTTGCATTTTGTGCCTTCCTGTAATATTCATAAAATATCTCTCTAACCTCAAAGATTTCTTATAATCTCTAACTGAAAATGCTTTCAAGAGTCTCACTCTAACCTAAAATATCTCACTAAAATGTGGAAAAAAGATATTAGCATGCCAATCAAATTTTTAGCTTAAGAATATTTTTTATGAAGAAACCAAAAGAAAAAATAGGTAAGGGAGATAGAGAAATAGAAAGAGAGATGGACTTTCTAAACTACTTTATTTAAATTCATGTACCCTGCAACCAGTATAAGAACATGGTTAGCCTTTATTATTGTAAATTGTGTCTATCATAGTTAGTGAGTGGGGGAATAATAATAAATAAACAAACCAAACTATCAGTAATAAATTGGTTTTGTTCCAAAAAGTCAGAGGCAAAAATCAGTTTAAAAATATGAATCTCAAAAAATTAGATAAGCAAGAAAGTGTGAAATATTGAATTTGGCTTAAAAAAACAGAGTGAAAAATTAGATATGTAAAGATAACGAGCTGTGATTATTGTATAGATATATTAAAACCATTGAATTAGAATTTGTATGTCCTTACCTTGTATCATTAGAGTCATACTTGACAAATTTTTGTCGAAACTTTTAATAAATACAACAATAATGCTTACTGTATTGTCATTACATAAAACATAAGATATATTTGTTTGGAGCATATAATATACTAATAATAAATAATATTAAACACAAGAACTACATTAGAAAACAACAAGAATGGTAATCCAAGGTATGGGATTATTGTTTGAATAAAAATACCAAAAATGACCCTCAGTATAGGATCGTTGTTTACTAAAACACAAAGAAAATAGTGGTCTATCCAAATTGCTATATTGTACACACTAATGAAATTTAAACAAAAAAATGAAAATGTAAATTATTCAAACTTCTACATGCAGAAAGAAAGCACAAAAATGCTTAAGAAAATACAAATATTCGAAGTTCACCTAGAATTCCTAGTTGCCTAAATATTTAGTTGTCACTGAATCTTTGTCTCACTCTTTAAAATGACGTTATATTTAGAGAAATTTTTTTCTTTTCATTGGGTTACTCTTCTTCTAATTCCAAATTTTAATTTTAAGATATGTGGTTGTTTTGATGGATTATTTTTCAGAAAATATGTTGTAGTTTTATTAAGGGACCAAAATGGTGAAAAAAAATTCATGGAAAAAGATTAACTCCTACGTTTAATGGACTATTCTTAATTTACTCCCACTTTTAATGTGCATATCTCTAAATCATAATTTAGAGGTATTAAATCAATGAAGAGATAAAGTTCTAGGGAAATTGTTTTAAAAAGCTTTTTTAAAAAAAGATGAACTATTTTTTATATCCATTTAATTAAAGAAACATAATTTTTTGAAGATATTTTTTGAAAAACTCGAAATTCCTAACAGGTTTTAAAAAGTCCGAGGTTTCTGAAAACATCGTGCTTTAGTCAAAGACTTGCTAACTATGGTGTTTACCCTTTAACTTGCTAACTTTTGAGCGTGCAACTATTCAAATAAAGAGAAACCCTCCCTTTTGTACTTTTATAAAAGTTATTTATGTACAACCCCTAAAATAAAAACTAAAATACTGTTTGCTCCCCTTATATCCGAAAATTACCATCAAAGTCGGTCAACCAGCGGTAATTTTTTTTTCGAATTGTCCTTCGGTTCGAGGATACCATCCTCGGATCGCATTTTAATTTCTTTTTTTTTTTCTGTTATTTCATTAGTAAGGCACAACCCTGAGTTTTAGAGGTAGTGCCCAGGTGGTTTAAGGTTCGAATCCTCGAACCGCCCCTGGACTAGGCAAAGTTAATGCTTAAAGTGATTTGAGGTCTGAAGAATCATAACACAACATATTTAAAAAAACTTCGGTCCAAGGTTAGAATTATCAGACCGCAACTTATTTTTTGAAAAACTTCAGTCCGAGGTTAGAATCCTCCAACCACTACCACTTTACTCATACCAAATGCAGTCCGAGGTATGCATTCTCGAACCGCCTTCTGTTAATTTTGGTGAACATCAATATGGTCTGAGAATTCCATCCTCGGACTGCTTTAAGTTAATCTCTGATCTTCACGCTTGGACGGCTTGGGCATTGCCCCTAAAACTTGGGATAGTGCCCTACTAAAGAAATAACAAAAAAAAAAAAATTTTAAAATGTGGTCGGACCGAGGGGCAAATTTGAAAAACAAAAATTACCACGGCTGATCGACCTTGTTGGTAATTTTCGGATATAAGGGGAGCAAACCGTAATTTAGTATTTATTTTAGGGGTTGTACGTAAATCGCTCTTTTTATAATGCATCCTGGTCAAAATTTTACGGCCCCCATTTCACCCATCCTATTTCTAAAGACAACTTATCGAGAATGTAGCCCTAGTAATGAAGCATGTATATTTAATGTCTTGCTTTCATTCTTTCAGTTCTTTTTGTGGTTTATATTCTTAGTTCTTTTTCATCCAACTTTTACTGCATACTGTTGTTTATGTCCTTCCACAAGTTGCCATATAGTGATGTCTATGTGGGTAACTTGTAGTGAGTTATTGAGGGTGGCTTCACATTGTACAATATTTATTCCTCATTCAATGAGTGGGGTTTGCAAGTTTCTTAAAGAGAATATGCCACTGCCACTGTTCTCATTTTGGTGATGAAGAATTGGGTAGTTAGCCGAAACCTCAAATGTTGGACAAATATCTCCCACTTTTTCTCTCGGATGAGGTTTTTATAAGGCTTAGGTTTTATGAAAACAAATTAAAGCCCCACCTCAAATCCTCGTCAAAAAGTACTTTCGGCAATCAAAATCTCCATGATGGTTCCAAAATCAATTTCTAATACCGACAATGGAATTTGAAACTCCACAAATAGTAAAGATCTTGCAGATCTATGAACACTTATTTTTAGAGAGAAATGGACGGTTCAGAAAATTTGTTACAATATACAATATACACTATTTTTAATGCTTAAAATCCTAAATTTTTTCACAACCATAATGTTCAAACCAAGATGATTTATGTAAAGACGTTCCAATGCTTGAATTGCAAATTTTGAGGTGACGCTTCTCTTATTTTGATAGGGCTGCAGCCTTATCAAACTATTTTCCTTCTCTCAAACCCAAAGACTATTTACGCCCTCTTGCATGAGTGGTGGTGACACGTTCGAAGCATCCAAACCAGGTGAGTAGTTGAGCTGAAGTAGTTGGAAAGTAGTTGGGCATCTCTCTCTCTCTCTCTCTCTCTCCACTGTGCATTATAAATATAAACATATGCATGCACAAGTCTACGTTGTAAGAACTCCATAGTCTCTATGTGGCAATACAGGTGACGCCCTCAACCCCTTTTCACCTTCCATCGACCCCCATCATACCCTCCCTCCTGCGCAAAACCTCTCTTTCTTTCTCTCTCTTTCATATCCATTTCTTTCTCTCTCTTTCATATCCATTTCTTTCTCTCTCTCTTTCTTTCTCTCTCTTTCATATCCATGGGGGAAGAAGAACAAAATGGCCTAGTACTACATGCAAATCACAATCTTCTCTACTCACATCAAAACCCACCTCTTATTTCTCTAAATCCTTCTCTCACGAGCCCACAGTTACAAACACTAAACCCCTTTCCCGAACCCAACTGGAATGCCCTCCTTGCGGGAACGCTCGGGCTGGGTTCAAGCCAAGACGACGGGAAGCAAATAGAGTTGAGCAATAACCACCACCTTAGTGGCGGTGGATATGGAGGAACGGTAATTGAGGATAACCATGGAATTAAGGAAAAGGGAAGGGCAAAGCTGAGGAAGATGAGCCGGCCGAGGTTCGCCTTCCAGACCAGGACGCCCAACGATATTCTCGACGATGGTTACCGGTGGAGGAAATATGGGCAGAAGGCTGTTAAAAACAGCAATTATCCAAGGTCTATCTCCCTTACATATGCAGTGATTAATGATTTACTCCTCTCTCTCTTACATATATAGAGTGATTTATGATTTACTTAAGCAAATGGTCACCTTGCATGGATGTTTCACTTCAACTCATGGATCATATCCTCATTTTAGAGATAAATGTAGGATAAGTATCAAATGAGAGAAAGGGTTAGAATCTAGGGTTAGACATTTGACCTCAACACTTTTAGTATCACATCTATAACTCACTTATTATTCTTTCTTCTTTTATACCCCTTAGTCAAAAAGTAAATGTTTTAAAGAGTAAAACTATCATGCCCCTCTCTTTTATTCTCTTCCTACCCGCCCTCTCTTTCTCTCTCTACCGCATTGTTCTTTGAGAGGGGTGGGTAGAGAGAGAAAGAGAGAGGGGGGTAGAAAGAAAAAAAGAGAACGGGAGAGAGAGAAGGGAAGGGTACTTTAGTTTTTAAAATATTTATATTTTTTATTGGGGTTAAAAGCAAAAAAAAAAAGTGACAGAGTTTTAAGTATGATACTAAAAATATTGAGGGTAAAAATGTCTACAAAGCTCATTTTGGGGATATCCATAAATTCCCAACCATTTTTCTTTTGAGAATATAGACCCGAGCCTTTTCATTAGTCGTAAGTTAAAAGAGATTGTAGGGTTGGAATTTATAATTTTCCTTTTTGTGGAGTGTGGACCAAAGCCTTTCGTCTACCTAAGTGGTACCTTATTCAAATCAATGCAAAAAAAGTTGATGAGAACACATGACATCAATATAATGTTAGTCCAAAGCATACATAGCTTAACTAAGTCAGGAGAATGAAATCTTGATCTCAAACTCCTCGCATATGAGACTCCCAGAGTGATGTTTATTTGTTTTCCGGCTTAACCAAAGAGACTATGTTTCGTGTTTTCTTACGTTTTGGAGATGGCCTTTAGGCATTAGTGATCTGGCCAGTAGGGTGCCACAACGTATAACGTCTAGAATTTCATTCCTATCTAGTCGTCCAAATTAATAAAATAAATATGCCAATGAATTTTTTTTAACGAAAGAGGAAAAGAAACAGAATGAGGAATCAAATGGCAATAGATAACACGGAAATATGAAAATGTTCAAACACAAAGGAAGAAAACGGTTGTGCTTCATGGATAGAAATTTCAATCCCCACAAATCACAAACTTAGTGTGATATATTCTTATAACTTAGAGAAGCCAGCTTAAAATGTTAATTTTAGAGGGGATGATTTTACAGGTATCAAATAGTTGTGAATGGTATCGGTGACATGAGTCGTCCATGTCAAATTGGAGGGCTGATGCTAGGGTACTATACTGACATTTCAGTATCATCGTGTACAATTCTTAGTTTGAATCAATGTTTTCAGAATTGACTAAGTCCATTTGGACTCGACTAAGTTACTCGGCCTCCGACACTAAAGTGAATGGGGGCAAGTCATGTACTCCTCCCGGAGGTGTTTCCAGGGACACGGTCGCTAGAACTATCTAAAATAGGGCACCCATTTCATCACTTTCCCTTTGAGTCACTTTTTCTCCTCCCTTCTATCTCTCAACTAGGTTCTCTCTCTCTCAAGGTGGAGTTTTTCCCTTCTTTCTTCTATTTTTTTCGTCAACTGTTGGGTGTATTTCTGCTTGAGAGACAGATATGCGAGTAGGGGTGGCAACGGATCGAACGCGGCTGGATTCGGACCTGGACCTGAATAGTATTCTAGTCCAAAATTTGGATCCGTATCTAAATCCGTCAGATCTTGGGTCTAGTCGGATCCATTTTGGGACAATAGGACCATCTAGCGCATGCCTAAAGACACATGATTGTCATCATATGGTATATAACTATGGGTACGGGTCAAGTTTGGTTGGACCCGGACATGGACCTGAATCGTATTTGGGTCCAAAATTTGGACCCACACTCAGACCCAAGGTTGGGCATGCCCATCGGATCTCGGGTCTAGTCGGGTCCATTGCCACCCCAAGATGCGAGATGCTTGAGGTGTGTCTATGTGAGTGAGATGCGTGTGAGAGAAAAAGATTGAGGTGTGTCTATGTGAGAGAGAAAGATGTGTGGATGGGGGAAAGAGGTGCATGTCAGAGCGAGACGCGTAGTCCGGGGTTTCTTTCCCGCACCCTTTTCCCTTTTTTTGAATTTTTTTAATATGTGCCATACTTGGAAAAAGTAGTTGAACTCGTCCAAATAACTCGCCCAGCCCTAAATGAATTGGAAAACATTCGTACGAATTGAGTCATTCGGTAGAGCAACATCTAAATATTCCCTTTTCCAAAGCAAAAAAACCTTTTTAAGAATAATTTTATGAAGACTGTTACTTAGTATTATTCCTATTCTTATTGTTGTTCTTGTGTTATGTTTATTATTTTGTTTTAGGTAGTTTAGAGCAAGGTTTAAACTTGGGATGTAGTACTGGAATGACTACAACCTAGCCACTCAAATCCCAAGCACACATCATATATAAGAGTTAATTATATACAGATCCTAAAAAAAATATGGAAAATACGGGATGCTCTCTTTTTAGTAAAAAAAGTACCCGAAAGGTCGGTCAATACGTGGGTTTCTTTTTCCAAGTTTGCCCTTACGGTCCGAGGGTGAAATTCTCAGACCATTTTATTTTTCCAAAACTTTGCGGTCTGAGGTTGAAATTATCGAACCACTTTGTTTTTTGCAAAACACAAGTTGCAGTTCGAAGTTGAAATTTTCGGACCGCTAAACTTAAGTTGCGGTTCGAGGTTCAAATTCTCGAACCTCTTTATTTTTTCAAAAGCTTTGGTTGCGGTCCGAGGTTCAAATTCTCAGATCGCTTCATTTTTTTCAAATCTTAAGTTTTGGTTAGAGGTTCGAATTCTCGGACCGTTTGTTTCTTCGAAGTTAAGTTGGGGTCCGTGGTTGAATTCTCGGACCACTTTTTTTTCCAAACCTTGCGTCATGTATGTTCTCACAAATGGAATGCATGTCATTCTTTCTGATAATTTGAATAAGAGATTTATATGTAGGTGGATGGATGCATGTCATACGTTTTTTTTTCCAAACCTTGCGTCATGTATGTTCTTACAAATGGAATGCATGTCATTCTTTGGATGAACGTAGATGTACATGCATGTCAAATTCTCGGACCTCTTTCATGAGTGAGAATAAGGCTTAGATTTGTCAGAACTTAAGTTTTTAAAGTGGTCCGGGAATTTGAACCTCGGACCACAACTTAATTTTTGAAAAAAAAAAAAACGATGGTATGAGAATATGAACCTCGAACTGTAATGAAGCAATCCGAGAATTTGAGCCCCTGGCCGCAACTTAAGTTATTGAAAAAATAAAGCGGTCCGAGAATTTCAACCTCGGACCGCAACTTAAGTTTTGAAAAAAAAAGCGGTCGGAGTATTTCAACCTCAGACTGTAGGGGCAAACTTAGAAAAAAAAAAAAAAACCTCGTGTTGACTGAACTTTTTAGTAATTTTTGGCTAAAAGGGGAACATCCTGTATTTTTTTATTTTTTAGGATCCGTATGTAATTAACTCTTGTTTAACTCTAGCTGCCTATATATTAGTGGCAACTCTGTTAAGCTTTTTTGCCTCTGGCTTTAATGAAACAGCATGAGAATCCACAGCACCGTTCATTAAATTGACCTTCGTTCGTTATTTTCTGGTTGTTGGATCTTCTGGTAAATAACATTCCCACCCCTTCATATTTTCACTATTATTGTGCCTAAGGGTGGCAATAGGCCTGGCCTGAGCCAGACCATCCTTGGACCGGCCCTTGTCTCTATAGGGCTGGTCTGGCATGGGACAAAAACAAATGAAAGAACAATAAAAGAATGTAACCCACGATTAACATCTCATGCATGGCTTGAATGGTTAATTATTTCTAACTAATTTTTTTCTTGGATGGGTTCAATGTTTGAATGATGACGGTGATGATGATGAGCAATAGGAGCTATTATCGATGCACACATCACACGTGCAGCGTGAAGAAGCAAGTCCAACGACTCTCAAAGGATACGAGCATCGTGGTCACAACATATGAGGGAGTTCACACTCATCCATGTGAAAGATTAATGGAGAGTCTAAGCCCTCTACTCAAGCAGATGCAATTTCTCACTAAGTTCTAATCTTTTCAAGCTATGAAACAATGCTCATGCTCACTTCAAAAGATTTGCAAGTCTTAGGATTAATTTCTCAGGTAGTTACAGGCATTTATTGTATATCTATCTACCCCAAGATATATGATAATACTTATTGTTTCTCATCAAAATGCTCTCACACATTTTTAAGCTTGCCGCTTTCGTTATTCCTTTTGTGCTTCATAAATAAGTTCTCCTTTCAAACATAAAAAAGTATGTTTTAATGGTGAGGTTGGCATAAAGATGTAACCCAAAACAACCAAAGTAAGGTGCACTTTCAAGCTTTGTCATGCAATTTTGGTGTCATAAATTTTTTAGGATAGCTCTAGAATCTATATTCATCTCTAATTATAAATTTTTAGGTGCACTTTCAATCTTTGTCATGCAATTTTGGTGTCATAAATTTTTTAGGATAGCTCTAGAATCTATATTCATCTCTAATTAGAAATTTTAAACTTCAAAAATAGTTATATTTTTTATTTTCGAAAAAATTATATCGATAGAGCTCTAAAATGAATGCAAATATTCATGCGTGCCAACCTCAATATTTGGCAGACCACTAAAATTGACGAAGTGTTTCTCTTAACATTCACATCTTGAGATGCTCTATTCCTGAGCTTTTAATTGAAAAATGCTGCAAAATATTACAAAGTTCAATGGTGGGGGTGGGGGGGGGGGGAACACAAGAAGACACTTGCCAGGTCCATCTAAACTCGCGAGGTAAGGATAATATAGTGTCCAGGATGCTGGAAGGGTACACAAGCAACCTCTAAAGGTTCAGAACTAGATTGAACCTAGACATATATCTAAAGGTCACAATTATTTCATTTTTTTTATTTTTCATTTTTTAACAAATTCTACTGAGACAAGTGTTGGGGCCTAATCAAAACAAAAAAAAATTAACAAGATTACCATTGACCATAGTACTCCTAAATGTTTCTAGTCAATTTTTTATTAAAATATTTCTATTTTTTTTATTGGTTCGCCCAATAAAAATTAATGTATGCACCAATTTCAAGGAAAACAAATTTGTAGATAAAAATAAAACAAAAGTTGGGCCAGTTTAATTTGAACCGCTTAAAAGGTGTGCTTGTGCACCCTTCCACCCTTTTCCCAGCTGAGTATGGTCATTGTTTAAATCTTTGTAGACACCATTCAAAAAAAAAAATAAGGGAAAGTTGAATGTTTTAAAAACAGAACAAAGTAATGAATTAAGGACAACAGGTAAGACTGAAAAGAATTCAGAGGAAGCACAAGAATGAGCGGCAAAGGTCTAAATGGAAATTGGGTGCTAAAAGCTTCTAAGGCCGAAAAGGAGGTGGCAAAGTTTTAAGTGGCACCAAAAGATAGCAAAAAGGAGAATCTTTGTTCATACTAACCTATTTTAAGGCCCTGTTTGGCTTGTGTGTTTGTTGTACGGCCTATAATGCGCTTTTTGCTTCGTGTTTATTGTACGGCCATCTTATACCCCGCTCATAGGTAAAACCATACTTTGGGAAATATAGAGGTGAAGCTTTACAAACATGTTCTACCCCATCCCAAATAAGACGACTCTGTCTAGCATGTTTGTACGCCGTCCAAACAAGACCTTACATTCTAGATATCAGGAATGAATTGCTGATCCCAAATAGTTAGGATAAAGCTTAGATGATGATGATGACTTACGGATACCACGTGACAAGGTCATGGTAATCAACTATGTGCCAAAAAATAATAAAAACTAATTGTTAGATATGATGATTTGTATTTTATATCACCATTTCAACTGGCTGAGTGTTATGGTTTGGGAATGGAAATACTAATGACAGGTTTTAATGTTTTCGACTCTAGTAAAGGAAGCCAACAAATATATATCAATTCAGTGAGGTATGGGTGCAAAAAGTGGAAAATATCCGAATTCCCTTTCAATGTTAGCAAATAATCTCAGAAAATATAGAGATTATCAATCATTTTTGTGATGGTGACACAGAAGTTTTAAAAATGAATCATTCAGCATATTATAAACACTAAATGAGATTTGAGTTATAATACAATGATCCAGTTGGAATATAATTTTACACCCCATCTCCCTATCAGACTCTACAGTATCATACAGCAGATAGCGCCAACACTTGCCCATTTGAATCATCTGCATGTGAAGCCATCAGCTTTCTTCATTCAACCTTCTAAAGCCTGCTTATGAATAGAGGGCAAAACCCTCATTGCTGTTTTCAAATACTTCCCCAAATGACAACTAAAACGGAAGATTACTCATTCCAATCCCATAGAGATGAAATTCACATGTTACAAACACTAAAATAAGAAGAAAAATACACCTCATGCACAAGAAAATCTACGCCCTCAGACAAAACTGTGGTATATGGTGCCAGATACCGCACTGAGAAGTATTGGAGTGGGTCCACTTCTTCCAATTAAGCTAAAATTAGGTCCTACTCTTCTTGAGAAATGAGGGCCATTGGCTCAATTCTTCATGGCAACCCACCATATACAGTCTTTTGTATGGAAGATAAAGATAGATCAGCTATAGTTGGAAAGTGCCCAATTCTTGATTGTGGCGCATGAGCACAACTTTCTTTCCATCTGCCCATTCTAACAGATACAAGAGATCAAGATTGTGAGTTTGAAGTTTCATGCAGTTGGAGTCGGCTGATGCCTTGGTTTTCTCCTGCAACACAAAAAAGAATCACAAAATAACCATCCTATCAACTCATATATATTTAAAATCAATTTGTAGTAAGCAGATAGATAACACATAGATGAAGATATGTTTTGTATATTTAATATGCGTGTCTGGAAGGTGAACCTCAGGTGTGGAAAGTTGAGTCAGTGCTTTATTATGAGTTGCACTAAGCTTGATCCTAATGTTGGACATGTCATTAGATGCCACAGAGAGAGAGAGATTTAATAGAACGTCTAAAGCGATGAGTTGGTGCATATGAAATGCTAGGGAGGGATATGCCATTATATCCTTCTAATTTATGTCAAGCGTTGCAGATTTTTCATATTGGTCTATCATTTCAATATGATATATCATAACTGGCATATCTCTATAACAGTTCTGCAATTATTCAAGGCCATGAGAGAAACCTGAGATTGACCATTGGCATCATGCCCTAGGATGCTTGCTATTATACTTGAACGAGAAGAATTGGGCGAGAATCCTTCCCATGGTGGAACAAAAATGAGTTTTGTGCACTGTACAGGGACAGTATTTCTGCTGAGTTTCTCCCACCATGCAACACCCAAAGACCACCATCTGATCATTAAGCCATGCTCAGAGAAAGCAACTAAACCCTGCATGAAAGAGATGACTTTGAATAACTTCAACAAATGAAGACCAACAGCTTTGCACAACAAACATGTTTCTACACGGTAACGAAAAATTCTGAATTCCACGTCAATTGTAATTTTTCATTTTCCAAAAAGCCCTCATGCTACAGCTCTGATTCACAGTAAAGTAACACAAGCATGATAAATACTAAATATTTTCCTAAAACATTTCTGGATGATCAAACTTCTACAACAAATAAGCCATAGAGGGACTATGGTTCAACCAACAAGAATCGAGAGAGGGAGGGAGGATTCATCTGTATTTTGCATAACAAATAGTCTCTCTCTTTCTAATAAGTCATTGCATGCATCTATATAACTTGAGAAATACATGTACTTGCCAAGGTATGAAGAGACATTAAGAATATTGCCCTCTAGACATAGAAATTGCGTACCTCCCCATCAGGTGAAAAGCATAATGCTGAAATCCCACCAGTGACTGTTCTACCATCTGATACCCCACCAAGCATACTTGGAAGTCCCGGTGGCCCACTTGCATCCAGAACCTTTACTTTTGTAACACTGCAAATACAAAGGGACTTCATTCTATAGGCTCCAAAAGTTTCCTTTTCATAACTTAATCAAACAAAAAATGCATAGCAACAATTGTATAAAGGTTACATCTGATTGATGCCTCATTATAAAGGAAAAAAAAAAGAGGTCAATTTGATGTCAATTTGTAGCTACAATGTGAGATGTGGAGATATTTACCACTGGAAATATTTACCGATCATACCTTTGTAAGTCATATACTTGAATAGTAAGGCTATGTATATCACCAATGGCATCACCAACGGCCAACTTTGTGGATGCCTCATTTAAGGCAACCATTGGGAACACACGGACCACTTCCCTTAGGGCAGCCATTGAGCTCTGCAGGCAAGCTTTGCGCAGAACAGAGTTCCCATGGTCCATTGTCTGTAAAATGAAGTTAACCGCCTGCATATCTGTCAAATGTCAGAAGCTATTAATATAAGCCAAAAATATTCCATTGACACAGCAGCATTAAATCTTTTTTGGATACTCATTTCTATGGATTCAGAGCATCGGTTTGAAAAAAGTGTCAGGAGACACATGAGCAATAATTTCATTTATTCGAATTTCCATCTAGTTCATGTATCACTTGGCTTTACATATTGCATCTCTTTATCCATGGGTTTCAAAGGAGAGGAGTACAGAACCCAAGAGAAGTGAAATCATGGTTCCTCACAAACTCATGCATCTTCAGATTTTCCACTTTATATTTACAAACACTTTTTTGTGAGGGTTCAAATACACAAACCTATAGATTCATTCCAAAGATTGGAATCCAAGAATAGAGATTTGGAGAAGGTTTACAACAATGTAGTATAGTTTATTTGTTACACAAGATGGACAATTGGAAAAGCAATTTAGGGCTTCATTCCAATAGCTAGTGGGTCTGTGAAAGACCATCTTGAAAGGAATGAAGAATGGGAATTTTTCCCTCGTTTTTCATTTTATCACTACGTGGAAACCCAAACAGGCTTCCCTGTAGAGCATCAAAGGCTAGGTCCTCTGAGAGTTCTCCCATGGTGGTGGTCTGCAGAAAGTGCATCATTGTAATTTTTGGATGATACCAACAGATGAATAAGATTTGGCGATGGAACTGTCACTGGTACAAGCATGGACTACTACTTCCATGCAATGCAATTTCAACGGAATGACATGAATATGGTTGACATGCAAAACATAATTAATTTTCTGAAGGCTAGAACAATCAATTTTAGTCCTATGCAAAAGAAAGAGAATAAACATCCCCTGGCATGCAGAAAAAGAAAGATAGTGGAATATATATTCTGTTTCTTATATGACGTGTATTTTAACTCCATTCAAATTAAAAGTATCAATAATGACAAGTTGCAAACCTTATCAATATAGAGAGCCAGGGCTTTTGGAGCACCACGTACAACCCTCATGAGAGTCATAAGTGACACTAAATGAACAGGTGAATCAGAAGCAGTAGTCCAAATCTGGCTTTCAATTACATTCAGAAATCCAAGTATATCGGCCATTGCCAAGCTTGGAAGAAGAATCCCAATCAATGCCTTTCTAATGGTATTAGCCATAACCTGATCTTGGGAGGAATTGTCAATAGCTGAAGTACCACTTAGACACTCAATAAAGAAGAATACATCTCCAATCAGATGAGGTACTTCTGAATGAATACATGGCTTCCATGTACTCTCCATTCCCTCAGCTAAGAGCTCGGCTGCAACAGCACTATACTTGTCATTAACCGCCATAACCAATTTTACAAGTTGATGAACTACTGAAGTAGCAAGGCTTGGTTTCACCAGACTAGGATACCAGACAGCTAATGCAGCTGCCACAATAATATGAGAAGCCCTTGCATCTCGGCTTGTTCCTCCAACCATAGAAATCCAATCTTTTCGTTCATGTGACTCTAGCCAGACAAGTATTTCAGAATCTTCAACAGGGTGATTATCTTGTGATTCTGTTATTTCATCCATTTTCATGGCGACATTAGGAGATGCTGCACCTGCCTTAAATCCTTGTCCCTTGTCATCTATAAGCTTCGCATCAATTTCATTTCGAAGTGTTTTAGGCCCACAAAGTGCAGGTGGAATTGCTCTTGAGGCAGCACAATGGAACAAAGACCGAGCAGCCATCCGCACATGTTCGATTGGATCCTGCCAAAAACTTGCCAATAGCTGCCTCGAACAAGCAAGTTAGTGTCAAATTGCTAGGAACAGCAACTTAAACTATGAATTGCAGGTTTGCATGTATAATTTGTGCTTTTTTGCGACATGTACAACTATGTGAAACTTCAAAGCAAAAGAATGTGACGCCAAATAAAGTACCAACCATTGTATAGGATGCACAAATAATGGTAAAGAGCAAAACAATGGTTTAAAAAACGGATCGGTGACCCGGATTGGGCACCTCGAAAACCGATCCGGATCGGCGAATCGGCGATCCGGATCGGGAATCGGCTTAATCGGTAGGATTAAAGCTTCAAAAAAATCCAAAAAAATTATTAAAATTCATTATAAATGTTGTTTTTTAGGAATCCAATAAGAAATGAGGGTACTACATTATTAACTTTCATTTTTTTTATCAATTTGTGAATATTGAGATGTTCTTTCCCTGTATAAATTTATTTTAACTATTAAATTTGCATCACATAAAAGAAAAATCACAGAATTATCATGGGTAAAATATATAATTATATATGGACTATTATAAAGAGTAGACTAATCAATGAAAGAATGGCCATTAAAATCTCGTTTTGGCGAAAAATCCTAACCCGCTAAAAAAACCCAAACTATTACAGCCTAACTAACTATAATCCAAAATTATTACAACCTCACTTATTATAATATTATATACTGAAATTATAATTATTAGTTTACATTTTATAATTATTTTATTAGACAAATAATAACAAATTAAAAATATTTTATAATATTATCTAATTTAAAATGTATTATTGACAACTGTAAGAAAAATAGTACATTACATGATTTATAATGTAAAAATTCATAAATAAAATAAAAGATTTGGTTATCAATGTAAAAATTAATAAAATGCGTACAAATTTTGGAAATAACACTTCAATTTTCAAAAATTTATTTTTTTAGGTTTCTATAATAAATTTAGTAAAAGAGATTGTTAATAGAAAGAAGGAGATTTCAAATAGAATAAACTTTTTATTTTTATTGTTTTTATAACAAGTGTGCGCGTGTGAGTGTGCGAGGGGGCACGCTTGCACGTGCGCTCGGACACACGTGTGCACGTGTGAGTGTGCGTGGGGCACGCTCGCACGTGCGCTCGGACACACGTGTGCGCGTGTGAGTGTGCGAGGGGGCACGCTCGCACGTGCGTGTCATGTGTTACGTGTGTGAGTGTGCATGGGGCACGCTCGCACGTGAGCTCGAACACACGTGTGCCCGTGTGAGTGTGCGTGAGGCACGCTCGCATGTGTGCTCGGACACGTGTGGGCGTGTGAGTGTGTGTGGGGCACGTTCGGACGTGCGTGTCATATGTTACGTGTGTGAACCGGATGGGAACCGGCGGTTCCACTATATAACCGGGCTGAACCGACGGTTCCACTCTATAACCGGATGGGAACCGGTGGTTCCATTCTAAAACCGGGCTGAACCGGATGGGAACCGACGGTTCCACTCTAGAACCGGGCTGAACCGGATGGGAACCGACGGTTCCACTCTAGAACCAGCGGTCCCAATTTTCGGTTGGAACCGGCAAGGGTACGCGTATTTTCGAGTCGAACCAGGCGAGTCCGATTCGACTCGCCTTTTTTTAAAACACTGGAGCAACATATATACATATCAATGAGTATTCAACTATAAAATTTTTTGAAATATCTATATCCATTAAAGACGAAAGAGAGAGAGATTTAAACCTTACATTAATTTATAGCCAGGAAAAACCAAAACAGAAACTAAACTAATGATCCCAACATGTTGGGGCCCAATATCTAGATTTCATATGTGTGTGTATAGAAAATGTTGTGGTAAGGTTAACATGAAATAGTAAGATCAGTTATTAACCCAACCATCTTATCTTCCTCGGAGATTGTAGCTGAGGATGTTGATATAGATGAGTGGTAGGACAAGAAAGGATAGAATTCAGAATGAATACATAATAGGGAACTTAAGGGAGTCCCATAGGTGATAAGATAAGGAAAAGTAAATTTAGGTAGGCTGGCCATGTGCGACATAGACTTAATACATCACCAGTTAGGAGAGGCAATTTGGGTAAAGTGGAAGACTCTAAAAGGGCAACAGAAACATGGATGGAAGTGAAAAACGATATGGTGACTTATGATCTGATTAAGAATATGACCCTTGATGGAGCAGAATGGTAGAACAAGATTCGTGTAGCCAACCCTAAATAGTTGGGAGTAAGGCTCGGACTATGATGATGAAATGCAAAGAATATAGTCTATCCATTTCAAGGCATTTGATTGACACCTTATGGGATTTTTTTTAGTCTAAATTTTTTAACTGTCCACATGATCACAAAATGAATAATTTTAAACATGAAAAAAATTTTAATTTTGACTTCTTCAAGGCTTAGATCTAAATGGAAAATCAACATTACTTAATTTTCTCTCACCTAAAGATATCCATTTTTCTTCATATCATTCACTACTTCAAGAGAGTGTATGTGAAAAATTTTGGGTCAAACAAATCCCATAAAGAGGTTTTTTAGTTTTTTTGGCTTGTAAGCTAATGCAACAGAGGGTGTACCGCAAGTATCCCATATGTTTGCATATGTGTGCACATACATCGAAGAAGATTACATATGCCTCTACACATATGCTTTACAAGTTTGACAACTTTTAAAAAAGAACAAAAACAAAAAAAAAAGGGGGTATTTGTTCAACCCAGTGTTTGAAAAATTGCCGATCAAGATTGGAATCAGCCACTCCGGATCAGAAATTGTCCTGGGGGATCCAGTTCTCAGAATACATTAGGAACCAGCCGTTTTCCCCTTAGAACCAGCTCGTCTGGGTTGGTCTATACCGGTTCTCTGACATAACTGGTCGACGCTGTCAGAAAACTATTCCATTATTTTTTAAATATCTTTTTTTTTTCTAATTTTTTTTTCGCAAGCTAAACTGGACAACTCAACCGTTTTACACGTCATGTTTTCCATATTTCATTTGAAATGTCTTAAAGTTTTCAAATAAACATAAAGTGGTGGAAGGCCCGCTCCATCATCATTATCATAGCCTTTTCCCAACTATTTGGAGTCGACTACACGAATCCTAGTCCGCCATTCTACTCTATCAAGGGTCATACCCTCAGTAAGGCGATAAGTCCTCATATCTTTTATCACTACTTCCAATCATGTCCTTTGGGCCTACCCCTTGCCCTTTTAAAACCTTCCACTTGAACTAACTCGTACCAATTAACAGGTGTTGTACTGAGTCTGTGCTATGTCAAGCCCACCTAAGTCTACTTTCTCTCATGTTATCGCCTATTGGAGCCACACCAAAGTTCTCCCGAATGTATTCATTTCGAATTTTAGCCCTTCTCGTCTTCCCACTCATCCATATCAACCTCCTTATCTCAGCTACACTCATCCTATGGGTATGTTGTTTCTTGACCACCCAATATTTTACCCCATAAAGCAAAGTTGGTATCACAGCTGTCCTACAGAACTTGCCCTTCAACTTCATTAGTATGCGACGATCACATAAAACTCTGGTTACGCATCTTTACTTCGTTCACCTAACTTTAATTATATGTGCAACAACTTCATAAATCTCTCCAATTTCTTGGATTATCAACCCAAGATATCAAAAGTGAGATCTTTCTGGTATTTCTTGGCCATCAATCTTAATACTTCCTCGTCTCTACTCTTATTATCATTGTGCTTGCATTCCATATACTCTATGTTAGTTCAACTATTTTTAAAACCTTTACATTCTAGAGCATCCCCCCAAAGTTCTAACATTGTGTTGACATCATGTTGGGGCTTCGGTTCTCATCGATCAAAACTATGATGTCTACGAACAACATACACCACAATACCTCATCTTGTACGTGCCTAGTTAAGTCGAAGAGGTATGGGCTCAACACTAACCCGTGATGTAGATCTATTGTCACTGAAACCCTACTCGTCTCTCCAATAGTTGTTCACACACTAATTAGCTCTCCTTTGTACATGTTTCTCACCAAGTCAATATAGAATCTGGAGACTCCTTTCTTTTCCAACACCTGCCAAATTAAATCTCGAGGTACTTTATCATAAGATTTGTCTAGATCAATAAATAGCATGTGGATGTCTTTTCCCTTCGCCCTAAACTTCTCAATCAGTTCCCTAAGTATAGCCTCAATTGTTGACCTTCCTAGCGTAAAACCAAATCAGTTTTCTGATAAACTCATTTCATGCCTTAGTCGTTGCTCAATCACTCTCTCCCACAATTTCATAGGGTGGCTCATAAGTTTGATCCATCAATAGTTTGCACGATTCTATATGTCTCTTTTTTTTGTTGTAAATAGGCACCACAGTGCTTTTCCTCTATTCATTTGGCATCTTCTTTGTTCTCAATACCTTGTTGAATAGCTTCATCAGCTAGTCAATGTTGATCTCCCCCATGCACTTCTAAACCTCTATCGGGATACTATCTGATCCTAAAGCCTTTCCTACCTTCATCCTCTTCAAAACTTCTTTCACTTCTGATATCTTAATCCTACGAATGTATCTATGACCTTCGCCGTTATTTATGCCAACAATTCCTTCCACTACTATATTACCATTTGTTTGTCATTTAATAATTTTTCAAAATAAACTCTCCACCTTTCATTGACCTCTTCTTTCTTCACCAAGACCATTTGATTCTTACTCTTAATGCATTTCATATGGTCTAGATCCCTACACTTTTTCTCTCTCATTTTTGCTAATTTGAAAACATCTTTTTCACATTTTTTTGTTCCCAATTTGCTGTATACATGATTATATGTTTAAATTTAACCTTACTTATTATTTGTTTAGCATTTTTATTAGTATTTTTATATTCTTCTAAGTTTTGATAATTTCTATTATATTGTCAAGTTTTATAATATGATCGTTTTTTTTTAATGCCCTTCGGAATCTCGTCACTCCACCACCAAGTTTCTTTACTGGAATTTCCTTTCCCTTTAGTTTCTCCTAAAACTTCTTTTGCCACTTTCTTAATATAATCAGTCGTTTCATTCCATATAATGTTAACGTCATGTTCAGAGTTCCATTTTCCTTTTTTAACTAATTTATCCCTAAATAAGTCTATTTTTTATTTTTTAAATTCCACCACCTAGTTTTTGGAAACCAATTAATTTCACCCCTTCTCTTCCATCTCTTTATGCAGACGTCCATAACCATGAGCCTATGTTGTGTCATCAAACTCTCTCCTAAGATAACCATTAGTCTTTACATGATGGTCGATCTACCTTCTTAACTAGAAAGAAGTCTATCTGGCTTTTATACAATCCATTTTGTATAAGTTATTAAATGTTCATCTCACTTTGTAAAGTAAGTGTTTACTATTGCTAGGTCATAGGCCATAGCAAAATTTAGAATAGCCTCACCCATCTCATTTTTTTCATCAAAACCATATCCCCCATGTACCCCTTCATAATCTCTATTATTTCCCTACATGACCATTAAGGCCCTCCTAAAAAGGTCCTCTCTCCGTTTGGTATGCCTTGGACTAATCCATCCAATTTCTTGTAAAATTCTCTTGTTCTCTAGTCCTACTTGTGGTGCATAAGCACTTGTTACGTTACTTATTTCTTCCCCTAATACAAGTTAAATTAATAGAAGCCTATCACCTACTCTCTTGACATTAACTACTCTAACTTTCAAATCTTTGTCTATTATTCTATCCACACAATTTCTATTATTATCCTTTCCTATACACTAAAATTTATACCCATCTATTCTCTTAGCTTTTTCCCCTTTCCATTTAGTTTCTTGTAAACAAGTTATGTTTACTCTTAATCATCTCATTGTATCTACTAACTCCATTTCATAAATACCAAAGTTTAAACCCATCTACTTCCTTAGTCTTTTTTTTTTTTTTTCCCCACTTAGTTTCTTGCAAACAAGTTATGTTTACTCTACTTCATCTCATTGTATCTACTAACTCCATACTCTTATCTGTAAGTGTTCCTACATTCTATGTGGCTAGAAAAATCCTATTCTCTTGGATTAGCTTCTTTACCCTCGCTTCTCCAAAATGTCGTGGGAACCCACTCCATAATTTAGTTTTTTCAAATGTGCAATTTTTCAAACCCTTAAATGTTCTAAATCTTCTCAAGACAAAACCGAGAAACATATACTAGATAAAATAGATGTCAAAAGACATCATGCATTGTGTACAACCTGAAGTAGAGGTGGCTGTATATCTGTCACCACCTCTGCAAAATTGCGAGTATAAAATGCTGCCAAGGCACTGCAAAAGAATGCAAGACAGGTCAAACATGAGTATCATAGAAGGGAGATCCAAGACAAAAATCTGAATACAATAAAAAACAAAACCCATAAATTATCAAATAGCCCAGTCTGATACATAAACAATAAGATTGTAGACACTCATCTAATACTCATGCTACCATCTTCAACTTATTAATCAAAACAAAAATATTATTTCCAATCAACTCTAACATGCAAATCAAAACTTTTCTTTTCAGAAGTAATCAATTCCAATGCATACCCAGATAGATATGAGCACTGGAAGGGCTCTGATATTTGGTTTGCTTCTCAATATCCATAGGAGATTATCCACAGATTGATATTGGGCAAGAATCTATATATCAATTATTTTCTTATAAAGAATTCAAGAGCGCTAAAAACCTTCATCCTAAGTCACCCATCAGTTAATTACCGTTCGCACATATATCTTGGGTTCCATACTAGGGTGTGGATCATGCAATGAGGCGTAGAAAGTACTCTACTATTACCCCTAAACACTACACAAATTTCAATGGCTACTATGGCTCCCAGGTCTTTATTACACAGGTCAAACTCCAACTTCCAACAACTCCAAGTGGTTTCCTAATCTCCCAAACTCTGTGAGATGGAGGGCCCTCTAATATCCTCACTCAGCCACTCACTAGGGCTTGATAATCAGAAAATATTGCAAGATGGTCTGTTCCACATAACCTATGATTATAAACCAGCTAGTTAAATCTATTCAAGTATATTAGACTGGAATATTTGTAATTTATTTGTCATTTATTCCTTGTCTAAAAAGTTGATTCTCATTCAAAAATTCATGTCTTCATACAACTCAACACAATGGTGAGAGAGGGAATTATCAACTGTGTTAGAAGTTCCCTAGTTTCCAGAACTTAGAGAATGCCTGGGTGTGCGTGTGCACACAACAAACATACGTGCATGCATCTACGTCATGCAGAGATTACACACATTATATAAATATATACATGCATATGTAGAAGCATGTGGGGATGTATACTATATAGACATCATCATCATCAGAGCCTTTTCCCAACTAATTGTAGTTGGCTACACGAATCTTGGTCAATTATTATGCTTTATTAAGGGCCACACTCTCAGTGAGCCATAAGTCCCTATATCTTTTCTCACTACTTCCAAACATATCCTTTTGGGCCATAAATCCCCATATATAGAAATACACTTATAAAAAAAAATGCAATGCATATAAAGACACAACTGCAGTGGAATCTTGTTACCCTCCCCTTAATGTATTAGCTATTAATGAGGACAATAATGCAGGAAAATAAAAAGAGGAAAAAACAATTCAATAAACTATCAAAACAAGATAGATTTGACTGAACCTGGCTTTCCTTGCACAAAAAAAAGACCCCAAAACTCCAATAGGACCTGGTGTTACTGTTCACACCTTGTTTTATTGTTCATGCCCAAAAGTGTTAGAAACCCTAACATCTTAGGCCCTTTTATCACATTATAATAAAAAGATCAAAACCATCATCACTTAAGTTAAAACTAAGGTTCAAAAAAGCAGAGCCAGGTGCTTAGGTGGCCAGCGTTTTGACCACCTAGGCAGGCACCTAGAAACACCTTTGCAAGAGGGGGAGAAGGGGGGGGGGGTGGCCATTGGGGGTGGCTACACCTTTGCAAGAGGCGGAGAAGGGGGGGTGGCTACACCTTCGCCATAGGCTATTTATTCCAAACATAGATATGTTTTTTGTGCTATAGTCTATTTATTTCAAACAACAATATTTCAATCACTTCAAATACATACATGAAGGAATATCCATAATATCTTTTTACTTTTTCATACAAATTCTTTGTTACGTAATATGAAACCATATATTGCACTTTCTTTTCATGTAAGCAATCCATCCAACCAAAACATGCAACTAACCCTAATTTGCGAGGTTCCCTAGCACATTTAGCACCACATATCATCAAGACTAGACCTTTTTATCGTCAATGATCATTTCAAAATCATGTTTAAAGAATAAAAAGAACTATCTTTCTGAAATGATGAATACAAATAGTAATTCAATTCCCCAAATTAACCATTAATTTCTCCCAATTAACCATTAGAGCAGCCAAAAATCAGTGATGTAATCTCAAAACCCATAAACTCCCTTAATAGGTTTATTAAGGGGGCTTATGCTTTCTAGGGGGTTGTGAGGCTAGATTGCCCCCACAAAACCCTTTTCCCCTCTAGGCAGCCTAGGCAAGTGCCTAGGGGCAAGGATGCCCAGGGCGCCCACCTAAGCAGTGGGCAGCTGAATTTTCGAACATTGGTTAAAACATTATAAGAATATTCCATAAGTCCCTCCACTCAAGTTATATTACAAAAGATTCCTAAACTGCCCCTAACTTTAATTAAAACACCGGAAATCACTAAGATTCTGTAAATACAACAACAAACTAAAACTAAACTAAAAATAAACTCCTTCAAAAAGTTGGCCTTTCCCTCCGATGTGGATCATCATAAAGGGGGGTCATCAAAGGATGGACTAATTGGGTCGAAAGGGCACATGGGAATTGTCTCGACTAGTTGAAGGAAAATACAGTGCATCACTCTCCCCCGGTTGGGAAGCGGTTGGGAAGAACTCGACCTTGAGTTTGATTCTTGTTCTATTGCTACTTCGAGTAAGTGGTACTCAAAAAGATTAACGACATTGAACACATTCAAAGTCTCAATCTTAGATAGAAGGTTGATCTTATATGCATTACTCCCCATCTTCTTCATCACCCAAAACGATTTGATTATCTTGTTATTCCGCTTGTTGTATTTGCCCATCAGATGTGTATCTCTACATAGATAAACAATCACCAAATCGCCCAATTGAAACTCTTTGAATCAGCTATGTTTATCTATAGCGTCCTTGTATTTGGTAGTGGCAATCTCCAAATTTGCTCGAATCTGGTTATGGACATCCTTCATGTGATCGCTCATACTATCAGCATCTAAATGTCCTTCCCCATTAGCTGGTAGAGGAGTCAAGTCCATCTCAAATAAGCTCTTACCGGTTGGCCTACTATAGGAACTGTTGTGAGTAACTTGGCTTATGGCAAAGCTAAGTCCCACTATCTCTTCTTATCACCCACTATGCTCCGAAGTAGGTTATCAAGGGTTCGGTTAACCACCTCAGTTTGACCATTAGTCTGTGGATGATAAGTGCTGCCGAACTGGAGGTACCCAACTTGCCATAAAGTTCTTCAAAAGTGGCTAAGAAACTTGGTATCCCTTTACAATATACTCATTTTCGGAATCCCACGAAGTCTCACTACCTCATTGAAATATAAGTTGGCCATATGAGTTGCATCTAGAGTCTTCATACAAGCAATGACGTGGGTCATCTTTAAAACCTGTCAACCACAACAAATATAGTCCATACCTCATTGAGTCCGCGGAAGGCCCACAACAAAGTCCATGCGAACATCTTCCCAGGGCGCACTCGGAATGGGATATGGAGAATATAAACATGTGTTCTAAAGCTGCCCCTTTTACAATTTGACACACTTTGCGTCTCTCCGCATACCTAGCCTCATCTTGCCTAAGTTTGGACTAATAATACTTGGACTCCATCGATGTAATGGTTTTGTCTCACCCAAACTACCCCCAAAGCCCTCCCCCTCCTCCCCCAATGTAGCTCTGAAATATGGACCTCTCTAAAAGAACTAGCAGGAATGCATAATTGACTCCCTTCGAAGAGAAAACCGTCTTGTACCACATAGTCTCCTGCAAGTCCACCTTGACACTAAGCTCAAATCTCCCCAAAATTATCATCATTAGTATACAAGTCATGCAAACACTCAAACCCTACCACCATGGTTGCCATAGTGGTCCACAGTGATATTCTCCAACTCAAGGCATCTACAGCTTTATTCTGACTCCAAGCCTTGTGACGAATCATGAAGGTAAACTCCGGCAAATATGCCACCCACCTACCATGCTGGCTATTCAGTTTATGCTACCCATTAGTATACTTCAGCGCCTCATCATCTGAAATAAAAGAAACTCCAATTGTATAAGAAAATGACATCAGTGCCTTAAAGCTTGAATGATTGCATAAAATTCCACATCATTTGTGGAGTACAACAGGGGCGTATCATTCAGCTTCTAGTTAAACTACGCTATTGATCTGGCCCCCTGGCTCAAAACAGCCCCAATACCAACTTGCGCAGCATCACACTGTCGTTCAAACATTTAATCAAAGTCTGGCAATGCTAACACAGGTGCCTTGGTGATGGAGGGAAAATTTTTCTTATTTTTCTATTTTTATTCAATTTCAATGGCGTATATTGTAGTTTTAGTTTTAGGATTTATTTCTAGAGTTTTTTAGTTTTTTAGGGATTCTAGGGGTTTTATTTTTATCATTATTCACAAGTACTATTCACAGTTACTGTTCACAAATTATTATTCATAGTTACTGTTCACGCGTTAGTTTTCATGTGTTACTTTCACAAGGGTATTTTTGAAATTATAGTATTGTTTTAGGGGTATTTTAGAGTCTTAAATATTTACTTGGATCTCAAGTGAAATTAGGGTTTCATAGGCTTATAAAAGTATGAATATCATATTTTGAGACATATGTTATTGGAATAAATTTTATTTTAGGAAAGAAGAAAGTTCTTCTCTTGGCATAATTTACAGCCATGTTCTTTCTCTATTATTGCTGATTTTACGTGTTTAAGGTTCAAGAAAAGGGTGGATTCAATTTTCCACGTTTCTTTCCTGCATCAAGTGGTATCTGAGCATGGTTCAAGGATGGCTGGAGATTGCGATGGCTTGTCGTGGAGGTCTTAGCTGTAGGATGGATAATGGAACGATCATAGTCCGACTTAGAGTTGGAGCAGAATGATGAAGCAGCCTTCAACCACTCGTTCTATGCACACGTTCTGTGTTACGAGCCTCACATTTTGGAGAATAAATTATGGGATTTAGTTGACCTGCATGATTTGAAGGAAAACGATGTGAATTTTGGC